TCAACCTTTTCAATTTTTCCCATATGACATTCAAAAATGTGTCTCTTCATTGTTTTAACTGGCATCTCTTCATATGTTTGTGCTCATTTGTAGCCCTTTTGTGGATCATCTGGTCTACCCTTTCCTCATCTTTTTTTTTTTTTTGGTCGGGTTGCTTTTTTAAAACTAAAGGAACACTTTATGATATATGGATTTTAATTCTTTGTTACATATATTGCAAATATTTCCTCTGTCATTTGTCTTTTAACTATACTTATTTTGTATTTTGCCATGCAAAAAGTGTTTGGTTTTTACAAGTTGTATCGCTAAAATCCTATCCTTTATGGCTTCTTGAACATGTGTCTTATTTAGGAAGGCCTTCTTCTCCTGAGTTATACAGATACTTTTCTAAGTTTTCTTCTAATATTATTATTGTTTTGTTTTTATGTTTAGCTCTTTAATCCATCTGGAAATGATTTTTGTATATGGTGTGAGGTAGGTATCTAAGTGTACTTTTCAAATGAATAGTTTCATTGTCCCAACACTGATTACTAACCCATCATTTCATATATTAAATTCTGATATTATACATGGGTCTGCCTCTGGACTCTATTTTGTTCCATTGATCAATGAAATTTGTCTATATCTATGCCAATAACACAGTGTGCTCATTCCTGTAGTTTGATAATATGTTTTGCAATCTGATAGAGTAAATCTCCCGTTATTCTATTTCAAATATATCTTTGTTTTTATCAAGTATTTATTCCTCTAGACAAATTTTGGTATCATCCTGTCAATTTCCATACATCATTCCATTGGGGTTTTTGTTTAGATTGTGTTGAATTTGCAGACTAATTTGAGGGAGGAATGAGAGATTTATGACATCAAGTCTTCCTATTCAAGGAAATGACATATCTTTCCATATATTAAGATCTTCTTTTATGTTTTCAATACTTTTCTTTAACTAGAACTTGTACATTTTCTGCTAAGGTTTATGCCTGGGAGTTATAATGTTTTTGTTGCTATTATACAAACAATCTTATTTTCCATTGAATTTGTTACTACTGGTATATAGGGATAGTTTGATTTTTGTAGGTTTATTTTATATCTGGGTGGTTTATTAAATTGTATAATGATTCTAATTGCTTTTTAGTTAAATACCTTGAATAAGTCTTAATCATATGCATGCAATGGTTTTTGACTCTTCCTTTTCAATGTTTCTACCTTGTTTTTATTTTTGCTTTATTGTATTGGCTAGGACCATCTCAATGGTATTGTATAAAATCAGTGATAGAAGATACTTTTCTGTGCTTCTAAAGTTTTATTAGCATGTATAATAGTCAGTGTCTTAGATAAAGGAAGTTACCTTCTATTACTAATGAATTTGGGCATTTAATCAGGAAAATGTGTTGGAAAATTTTGGCATCTTTTGAAAGGATAGATTTTCTTCTACCACTTTAGTGAATTAAACACTAGATTTCTTAAGGCTGAGGCATTCTTGCATTTCTATTCTAAATCTTATTGAGTTATAATATGGAGTTCTTGTAATATCTTGCTGATTGAATATAATAATATTTTATTCATTAATGTTATGAATATAACAGATAATTTTACACATATATAGATAAAATATCTATAGCTGTACTCATGTATTTAAGGCTATATGCTATGTTTGACTGATTTTATCACCAGAAGTATTTAAATCACAGAAAGTCAATTGGGAAAGTTTCTAACTTTTTTATTTTTTATTTTTTGCTTTGGGAAAGTATAAATAGAGTAAAACATTTTAGTAGAACTTAATCCCAAAAATCATCTGGAGCTTGTACTTTTTTAATGTATAGAATTTTTACTATAATTGTAATTGTTTTTCTGTGTTTGAATTTTCTACTTCTCTCTGTTTTTCATTAATTTTTTCTAGTAAATCAGTTATGACAACTTTATTTTCAAATTCCTTGTTGTAATATTTTTAACATTTTACATTTGTCTCCTCTATGTCTTTTATTAACCTTGCCACAGGGTTATATTACTTTTAAAGAACTACCAATTAATTGTGTAGATAAGACTCCTTTTAATTTTTTTTCCCTTTTGGTTGGTTGTTTTGCTTTGCTTTCTTTTATACCAATTCCTCATTTTATCTTTATTATTTATTTCCTCTTTCTTTCTATTGTCATGTAGGTCTTTACTACCTTTGTTGTTGAATCATATTTTAATTTATTAACTATTTAAAAAATAAGTCCTTACATGTTATAATTTAAAAAATTACTTTAGCTATATTTCATAGGTTTCAATGAATGCAAATTTAATTATCATAATAAATAGTTTTACATTTAATTTTCAATTATTCCTTTACCAAATAGTTTTTTAATTGCCCAAAGGGAAACTTTAAAAAAAATTATTCTTTTGTTGTGAACTTCTATTTGGCACAGAAAATGTTTCTCATTTTTATTTTATGTTTACTGTGGTTTTTATCTTGGCATTTCAGCTTTCCTTTGAGGTATTATATGTGATTGGTTTTATAAATTGTTTCAGAGAATTGAAAATAATTTTCAACTTTTTAGGGAGGCTGAAAGACACACAATTGCAATACTCATATCTATCAATTAAAACTCATTATCTATATTTTTAAAATGTATCTTCATTTATCTTGTCTTCTTGACCTGTCCATTTGTGAAAGAAGTATTTTGGTTTTCCATTATAATGTTGGTTTTGTCAGTTTCCTTTGGTTTATATCCTGTTTTTAGTCTTTGTATTTTTGTTGCTATATTACTTGGAGCCTAATAATTCATAATTATCATAATGCTGAATTTTGCCATCTTGAAATATGATTTAAATTACTTTTTTCCTTTTAATTCTTGGCATTCTAAATTTTTTTCCACATGTTTTTAATTGTCAGCATTTTATGTATTCAATATTATACATTTAAATAATATATTGTGTATATCAAATATACATATTTAATATATATTAGTTTTTCCTTTTATTGTATTTTTGCATTCTTTCATTTTTAATATTTTCTGCTCTTTACACATGTCTTTTCTAAATAACACACATCTTGATTTTTTAACATAAATTTTCTCTTATTTAAGAGGCAGTATAACCCATTTGTATATAGTGTCTATATAATATACAAATTATTACAAAAATATTATTATTATCTTTGTATAAAAGACATAAATTATAGTACAAAGATATTATTTAAACTTCTTTTTCATATGTGCCTTCAACATCTTTAACCCATTCCTCTTTTTTGTCATCTTTTTGGTACTGGTTAGAGATTTTTGCTTTTCTTTTATAAAAACCGGTTTGGAAGCTATATGTACTATTTCTATTCTTCTAGGAGGCACTTAAAAATTTTAGCAAGCAAATTTAAATTGAAACTCTTGTAATCAAAAGTTGATGACTGTTTGTAAATTTGATTTCCCTCCCTAAAAGACAAAGCCTTTGCCAGGCTTTTAATGATTTCTCTTCCTATTCTTCTATGTACTTATGGCTGAAATTATCTGAAGGTTTCATTCCAGAGAAGTAGTGTTAATAATAGCAGTCGTAGTACTCTTAGCATTATTAGTATTATTATTTACTTTACGTCTCTATTTTACAAGAAGACTTTATTAGTAATTGTATTACATTTTACTACCAAATTAGCAACCGCCATTTAGATTTAAATTGTGTTTTTGTGACTTATACACTCTACTTTATTTGTTATGTTCCCAGTCATTGTCTATTTTAGATTCTTTTTTTCTGTTTCTCTGGAGCAATCCTCAATTAATTTTTGCTCCTTTATTTTCTGAAAAGCTATGAGTGGTTAACTTTCTGAGTCTTTGCTTGTCTGAAAGAAACCCCTTCATTTGTCTTTACACATGACACAGAGCTGTCTTGATTATAAAAATCCCAGGTTGAAAACAGCTTCCATACATCCTTATCATCATTTATCTTCTAAAATATTTCAAGTGGATAAGGCAAATATCATTTTCCTTTTTAGAAATAAGATTGCCCATTTTCCAATAAGTCATTCTTAAGTGTTCATTATCCTTATCCCCCCAACTGACCCACCATAGAGAACTTCTAATTAATAGTTTATCAGGGCATTTATAGAGAGCTGTTTCTATCAATGGCAAGCACTTTTCTAACAACAAAATTCTATGTATGAGCCAGAAGTTCCCATTTCTGATGTTCTATTTGCTAATGATACAGTGAGTTCCTGAGTTTTAAAACATGCTGTGAATTTTCTTCCACTTATGCTAATACCTCTAGCCTGCTGGGCTGTGAGGATTTCCCTAATGTTTTCTCAGGAAAGGGTACCCTGAATGTCAGTCACTTCCTCTCATCCTTGACTGTCAGATCTGTAGACCCACAGATGGGTCTCCGTAGGGTATTTTAAAAGAGACTTTTCTCACTGGCCTTTGAGATGTTACTAAGAACTGTCGTAAATTCTCTTTCGGTCGACCTGATTTCTTATGAGCCTGTGGTCTTCCATACATTTGGAACTTCCCTGTTCCCTTCACTTGAAACACTGAGACATAAGGTACAGTGAGAAATTCAGGATTGTCAGATAGAAGGTAAAGTCATGGTTCTACAGATTAGATGCACTTGGATAATACTGTGCTTTAACCACCTGGGCCAAGGAGTCCAACCTGGTGTCTAAAAATACTCAGGTACTTGATGGCCTCCCTCATTGATTCTGCTGACTTCCCTCTGGACCTCCTTTCAAGGCTAGGTTCACTGTAGTACCAGATTCTAAAACCTCTCCCACCCCAAATCATCTTGCGATCTTTCTTTGTACTCCATGCCGAGGAACCCACCTTCCCTTAGGGATTATCTCTCATTGCTACTCTAGCTGCCTCCAGTATTGTAGATCAGTACCTCCACTGAGACTCTGACACCATTTGCATCAAGTTCAGGTTGTGGCTATCATAGAATAAGAGGCATCGAGTGCGCATCTACTTACGAAGAGTGCAGACAGGCAATGACCGATTCTAGCCATCTGGTCACTCTGTGTGTGCCTCTGTCTTGATCCCTTTTAGGTGGGAGGACACACCATGCTCCCCATCCGTTGGATGCCCCCTGAAAGCATCATGTACCGGAAGTTCACTACGGAGAGTGACGTGTGGAGCTTTGGGGTGATCCTTTGGGAGATCTTCACCTATGGAAAGCAACCGTGGTTCCAGCTCTCAAACACAGAGGTACAGAAGGGGGGTAGAGGGGAACCTCCATTTGGGGGAAGGCTGATAGGAGTTATCTTGGGCCAGGATTTAGACCTAGTATACAAAACATGAGGCGGTGTTTGGAGCTAGCAGGGCAAATATAGGTATAAGCAAGAGAGGAGAGCTTCTTAGTAGGAGAAACATTAGAGCTGTAGGAAGTGTGGTGTAATTGTCAAGAGAGCATGAAATCAGATGTCTAAATGGAGATGCGAGTCCCAGTCCTGTTTGTGCTGCGACACTTAAAAATCACAAACTTCTCCCTAAGACGGAACATGAAAACAAAGAACAACTCTGAGTTTTTCAATTGTGCCATCTTGTGGAAACACCCAAAGAGTCTGGATTCCCAAAGGTTTTAGGCCTGCCAGGCCTGGGATGGGCAGAGGATGGTGGATGGGGAAGGCACATTTCACATTATTGATAGAGCTGTGTGTGGACCTCTAGGAATAAAAGCGCTCATCAGAGAAAACAACATCATCATAATTAACACATTATATGCTTTTATAATTTTGATTTATAATAATAATAATAAAAATTCCAGCAATCAAATTTTCACAATAGCTAACATTTAGTGCCAGGTACTTTTCTAAGGACTTTAACTGTATTAACTCAGTACTTTCCACACGAATACCTGTTGAGATTCAGGGCAAAGGGAAGGGAACTGCTTGGAGTTCTGGAGAGGACTGGCCAGAGACTCAGATGGGAGCTTCTGCAGCATGGAGAAGGCATGGGCCATAGCCACAGGACTCCTGCCTCCAAAGCCAGTCAGGATGGTTCTCATTTATGTCTGACCAGACTCATGTTGCCCTGGAGAATAGTTAATAGACAGTAATGGTCTTGGATTCCCAACCAAGCAGACGTATAAGAGATTGCAATTTATTTTTATGGTCTCCTGTTTTCTATGAAAACATGAACACAAGGGCCTTTTAATATTGCAATCTTATCTGAATATTTGAGAAAGTATCTTTGTCTTTGAGAACTGTATTCCTCTTTGCTTTCTTGTTCCCTAACCGGTGAGTTTCAGAGACCAAAAAGAAGACACTTCTTTAAATCTGTAGTACCTCATCAATCACAAGCTGAATGAGTCTTGACCACATTTCCCAAAGTAGGACAAAACATTTTAATGACCTTAAAAAAAAAAAGAGTGTATATCAGAACCCGTTTGTTGCAGTGTTTTAGCTGTTTTCTTGGGGTGTGGGATTGGTAGCAAACACACACATACATACACGCAAGCGTGCTCGCACGTCCATGCATGCATGCGTATACCTACCCACGTACATGCACGTACATACTCCTGCACAAACGTGTGTGCACGTGAGTATACGCAGCCCGAGCACAGCCTCCCATGTAGTTTCGTGGCCCCAGTGAAGAGGGGATGTGCGTGGAGGGTGCTTGTGGTATCAGGAGTAGATTTGGCCTGGAGACCCAAGCCAGCTCATGGTGGCCAACAAGGTGTTTCTAATCATTTCTAACACAGTTTGGTGAGGTGTTGGCCTGGAAGGTGGGCTTTCTGCCCCCAGCCACCTGTCCCACTCCACAGCCCAGAGCAGCCAAGTACTGTTAGTCACTGATCATGGGTTTCTTTATGGAGGTTGACAACCCAGTGAGCCCACACTGGAGGAGACACTAGCGAGGGCTTTTGATCGTAGCATTAACAGCTGCTGCAGTTTGAGCCGAGTCCCTTTTCGTGGAGGTGAAGGTAATGGAGTGGGGAAACAGGGCTCTAATAACGGAGAACCTGAGTAGCTGGAGACCGATTGGGCTGGCACAGAAACAAGCCTCTTGGGCCGGCATTGACGCCGGAGTGAATCGGACCAGGAAAGTGTTGACACATCGGGCAGGGGCTTGACACGCTGTCCTTGGGTCAGAGTGACATGAGACAACACCCCAGACAGGGCGCTGTTGGGGGCAGCATGAGGAGATAAAGGAGACAAAAGGCACTTCTCTTGCCGAACTAAACACAGACTCATGGGGGCAAAGACACTGGAGGCACTCAATTGGACCTGAGTCCGTGTATTTTCTCATTACAACCCATCTCTGAACGAGGAAGCTGGAGTTTGGGGCAAGTTGCCCAAGGTTTCATAGTGATCGAGTTAGGGAGACATTAAAAACCAATCCAAGACCAGGAAGATGAAAACGTGAAAAGTCACATGTTCAATGTCAGCAAAGAAGTGCCTTTGAGAAATTGGAAATGAACCACAGATTACAGGCTTGGTCCTTACATGGCCAGCTGGGGTTGGTCCAGCCCTACATTATTTGTTTTCTTCCTACTCCTCCTTAGGGCCTCCCCTGTGGTATGTCAGGCCATGCTTTGTGTCCTTGGCTTCATTTGGGCCTTATGACTATGCAGGAGGCACACATTGGATCCCCCTCTTCTAGATGAGGGTGCTGAGGTCAGGTTCACTGACTTGTGCTGGCCACAGAGCTGGGCGGTGGTGAATCGAGCAGTAGTCCTGATGTGAAGGGCTTTAACAGAAGCCAAATACATGGGTTAGTGCAAAGAGCAGGGGAGGAGGGGCCTTGCTGAGAAAGGGAACCACATGGCAGCATAGAGGGAAGCTATGCACAGAGGCTGGGAGCTGGAGGGGAGCTGGCCCGGAGATGGGAGCTAAGGGGAGCGAGGCATGGAGGGGCCAGATGGTGCAGAGTTCCTTCAAGGGGGTCTCAAAGTCACCCAGGCTCATAAGAGGGGAGGGACAGGTCAGATGCCAATCCCCACTGCCAAGTGGCAATGAATCGTGCGGCATCCAGATGAGATTCAGGACTAGAGAGGAGGAGTCAAGTAAAGGCTAGAGTGCATGGGGGAGTCCGTGAAGGCCTGGCCCAAGAGGTGGGTCACAAAGGGCAATGGTGGGCACGGCCAGCCGGCAGCCTGCCCAGGACAGATGAGAGACTCTGTGCTGTCTCCATCCAGCCTTCAGCCTGTGCAGGTGGGCACCCCAGCTCCGCACTGAAGCTCCTTCATGAAGTCGCCGCCTGCTGCTGGGTGGGAGCCCCAGGGCCCAGGGGGGCTTTGGATGTTAATGTCCTGGTTCTTCTCATTATTTTCAGGTCATCGAGTGCATCACCCAAGGTCGTGTGCTGGAGCGGCCCCGGGTCTGCCCCAAAGAGGTGTACGATGTCATGCTAGGGTGCTGGCAGAGGGAGCCCCAGCAGCGGCTCAACATCAAGGAGATCTACAAAGTCCTCCATGCTTTGGGGAAAGCCGCCCCCATCTACCTGGACATCCTCGGCTAGCGGCGGCTGGCAGTCACGGACGCATACTCTGTGGCTTCCCTCTCCTGGCCTCACATCGCCCCTCGTCCACCTCACACTCCTTTCTTCCATCCTGACTGAAGCGAACATCTTCATATAAACTCAAGTGCCTGCTACACATACAACACTGAAAAAAAAAAGTGAAAGAAAAAACCCTGTAAGGCAGTTTGGCGAATATATATATATATACATATATATATTTATATATCTATCTATCTATATCCACAGAGAGATACCTTCTCTAATACAGAGAGAAACTGCTGATACAGAAACCATAAGACTGTAACAACAACTCAGAAAATCTTAAATCTTATGAACACAAATGGAAGTTCCCTTTGACTGAAGCTGGGGCCCGTGGATCTCCGGCTCCAGCTTTTCGGGGCCGAAGACCTTGATGACGCAGAGACGGTCTTCACGCTGGGACCGGAGGAGATGGGGTGGAGTGCGAATCAGCGCCGTGCAGGTGATGACCTGCACAGGTGTGCTACCCCTCCCCCGCCCCCAAGGTCTGCACAGGTGCGTGGGCTGACCTCGTCCACTGCACTCAGGAGGCAGCAGGAAGTAACACCGGCCCCGGGGGCCTCTGGAATGCCTCACGTCTCCACTGACTATTGCTCCACGCCTTCCCCCTTTCCTCCGCTTCAAGACAATTCTCCAATTTGTCCGTTCTAGAAAGTAGAGTCCTGATGCTTTTGGAAGTCAATGAGGGCGTCTACCACTAAACACTGGACAAACGACGTGACCCAAAACCATGGTGACAGTGGACCACATCCGTCTTGGGTGTAAACCATGCTCAAGTTCCTTCCTCAGTTGGAAAAAGATGTGTCATCTATTCTCTGAACATCAAGAACTGGACGTTCTGGACTTAACCACAGAAGAAAAAGCTGAAATTTGACCCCTCCATGTCAAGGCACTGCCTCCCACCTTTTCCTCACTGGAAAGACTCCTTGGCCTCACCTCCCACATTCAGGCCTTTGGGGGAATTTGGGGGCATAGCGAACACCTCCCATGTTGCCTGTGAATGTGGACACAGCAGGGTTCCAATAGCAGGAGACTTCGTTCCTCATAGGTCATTATAGGATGTGCCCCTCTGTGTCATCTGTTTCTCATCCTGCCTGCCCTAGATCCTCAGCCCCGATCTTCTGGGCCTTTCGCACGTCCCAGGGAAACCTCACTGCCAAGGAAGGAAGCCAGGACTAGAGACGGTGTGGGGCAGTGCTTGTTTTGGAGAGCGAGGCCGTGGACTGGGCAGGAGCCGGCAGCGGAGAATCTATTTGGCACTTGCACTGGCCCCTTGGCATTCTCCTCACGTTTCCAGCCCCTGGAAGGATGGATGCATCTGCGTCTGAGCTTGCTGTGAACACTCAGGGGCTGAAAAATCGCTTTTGTGGGCTGGGGGTGGGGGAGGGGCCGAGGCTTCTCTGGGAGGCGTCCACGGTGGGGCCACAGCCGCAGGCTTGGCATCTTAATGAGGACGGAGCCCTAACTGGAGAGGGAGAATGAGGCTTCTGGGCTGGGGTCCTGGCCGCTGCTGTCGAGGCCTGTAACGGGCAGATCCCTGGGCCTCCCGGACACAGGACCATGAAATGCCCCTGGAAGGCAACGGCCTGGCCCCATGCAGCCCTCCTGCTGGAGAGAGGACAGGTCCCTCTCAGCTCACCCCAAGCACAGAGCTCCATAATGGACCGGCCTTTGCCCCCCGGGAGCCTCAGGGTGGGCAGGGGTTGGGGGGCTCTGGCCTGGGCCCTGCCCTACAGCGTGAGGGGCTGTGGGCGGTTTGAGCGGCCTGGTCAGCTGCAGCATGGGCATCCCTGTGGGGTTCAGGACTAAATCCTGTGTTTGTGGTTTTGCTTCCCTTTTTTTTTTTTAAGACCAACAAATGTTTTTATTCAAATAGAAAAGAGCTGTGTTGGGACTGCCAGCCTCGGTTGGGAGTCGGGGATCAGTGAGGCCACTCAGCGGGGCCGGGAGGGGAGCCGGAGTTTGGTGTGGGTTTGGCCCTGTGCCGGCCTCCCAACCCTGAGGATTGTTGAGGAGAGCTCGGTGGATTGACCACATTAGAGGAACCCTTTGCTGTCCTACGGCCGTTTTCCCACCTGTCTTTCTGCCTCGAGGCCCTGGATCTCTTCTGGGCCCGTTCTTGCAGGATGAGCTATGGACTCAGTCTAGTGTTGAGCAGGGTAGCGGAGGGAAGGCTGTCCATGGAGGGAGGGCCTTGAGGGGGAAGGGCCTTCTGGTTAGATGTGAGGCTCTAAGCAAAACAGACGCCGGAGAGTCTCCCCAACACAGACCCTGTGGAGCTTCCATCTCACAGGCTGTGTTTCTATGTCACGGTCACTGATAGGCTGGGAAGACGGGGGCATGGGAAGGGGTTGGAAGCTGGGGGCAGCTGGGAATGAGGAACAGGCTAGGCTTTCAACGCAGGGCGCTAAGGCAGCCCAGCCTAAGGGGAGAAGCTAGTTCCTTCGGGAATAAGGAGCCGTGAAGGAGACCGAAGTCAGACTGCACAGGCCCTCCCTCGTGCTGGCCGCGGGGACGCGTCTTGGTCACGTCCACCGTAAGTGGCTGCCTCTCTGAAGGGTAGAGGAACGAAGGGCGGCTGAGCAAGGGGGAGTAGAGAGGGATCACCGGCTTTCTTCCTCCCTGGTTGTGCTCTCTGCAGAGTCTACGTGTAGACTTTAGGTCAAGGCGGGTAAAAGAATAAAAAGGTTTTTGGAGGGTGAGGGAGGCAGAGAGGAGGAGCACCCCAGGGCCCTGGGGGCAAGCAGGGGATGTTATTCCTCCTGTGGTGGGAAGCGCCGTCTCAGTCTCCGGTCTGAGAAACGAGAGGTGCCTGCTCATCTCTGGCCGCTTCGGGGTCTGATATGTTTCGATTCTCCCAGCGCGGACTCACTGTACTGTGTGGTTCTCCGTAGCGCCCTGGGAGGCCAGGGGGCCCCTCCTCAGGGCAGCTGCCCCTGGGGGCATGTGGGTCTGCGCACGTGTGGGTCCCGTGGGACATTCCTCTCCTTCTTGGTTCCTGCGTCACCATGTGACGTGTCTGAGGTGACTTTCAGCCCACAGGGCGCATTTGGTTTTGTTTCCCATCCCCAGCCTCTTTGCACACCCAGGAAGTGCTGGCCAAGGCCTGTTTATCTATTTATTTTCGAAGAGCTTAATGTGGTTAAATGAGTCTTAAAATGACATCCCATCAGCCAGTGTGGCCACCTCAGTCCACCCCCCTCCCACCCCTCCCCGCCAAAATTCACAGTTTAAAAGAACATGCTAAAGCAGCTCTCAGGGTGTGGCTGGATGCAGACACCCCCCCCCCACCCCCACCCCGGTGAACTTTGCTGGGAGCTCCAGGTCACCCAGACTGACCTCCCAGCCATGTCATCCTCACCTGATCCCCTCCTGGACCGAGTGACAGTGGCCTGCTTGTGGAGATCACTTGGAGTAGAGAGGCATGGCCAAAGGTCTTCCCCGCTCTTGACTTTGGACATGAACCAGATGCTGCCCTCTTATCATATCCCTGGCCCCTGAGTGGGGTCTTGAGACTCAGTAAGCCTTCTCTTGCTAACAGATGAGGACTTGTGTTCCTTCACTCAGCAGATCATGCACAGATGCAGATCATGCAGATCATGCACAGAGGCTTCCCACTGGAGGCAAAGGAGGCTTGGTCCTCCTGGTTGAACCTTACCATTCTTCTCTAGTGATGCTTACTTTGTGGAATATACTAGTGCAAATATTTTTGGTGCTAAATACTACAGAAATCAACACTAACGGGAGAGCTGACAGCCAGCTTCTGGGGCTGCATGAGACTCCACTGGAAAGTGTCCCTACATGCTGGGACAGTAGAGGACGCCTGGGAGCTGGGGTGGGAGCATGCAGTGGTGTGGAAAGCCGGTTGGGCTTTGCTTTTGGTTACCCAGGTACCTTGGCCAGGTCCCCGAATCAGAGTATCAGATTTCTCATCTGAGACATTTAAGAGGTTAGAATAAATATCCTTAGGGTCCCTCTCAGTTTAAAAAAAAAAAGTGTGTTCTGGTCCCACCTTTTTGTTTTCTTTTGTTTACTTGCTTATTAGAAATAAGAGAAAATGAAAGGCAGGTAAAGAAGGGGAGGAGGGAAAGTCACCGAGGGCAAGAAATTGATTATAGAAGGCAAACAGGGAAGACTCCATGACTGTTAGGTTGGAGGGAGGTTGGTGGGGGGAGCCAGGCCCACCAGCTCTCCAGCCGTGGCCCGGCCCCCGAGGCTGACTTCCTCAGGCTCTCCTCCTCAGCTTGCTAGCTTCTCCATTTAACACGACATGCCCTAAGCTAGCAGAAGGGATCCCAAGATAGGGAGACAGGCCCGCCCCACTCTCGTGCAGACTGCTGGCAGTCTGATTTCAAAACCCGACAGATGTTTATCCTCACGTGCTATTTCATGGGATAGGAATTTGGAAAGAGGGCAGCATTTTAAGTTGTGGATTCTTCACCAAAGTCCTTTTCCCTTCTGGAATGCCGAATGGTGTCCTTGCTCCTCTTTCCCAAACCAAACAGCAGCAATATTATTCATCAGAGGTGTGGTTATCGAAGAGGGCAGTCTTGGGCTTTGGGATCACCCATGTGCTTCGCTTAGAGTCTGGAGCAAAGAAACATCTATAGTTCATGGTTGAATGAGCCCCTGTGCCCACGGTCTAGAGGACTGCCCGCAAATGCCCCTGGGTTTGGCTGTTGGCAGCTCTGCTGGAGCCGACCGGCTAGAATATTGGATGGCATTTGCCTTACAGCAAGCCCTTCAGTCCAGGGCTAGGTGCTATAGCCACATTGTTTTTGGTCCCTGGTGTGCCAGACTTTCCTCTGATACCAAATAAAATGTTTTGGCCAACACTTACTAGGTTTTAAAGGGAAATTCCGAGTCCTTGTATCATTTTTAAGGTATCAATATAGACTCCAGAAAATGCTTTGGGATTGCTGAACGGTCCTGGTAGCATCATCTGAGGGGAAGTGTAGGCCCCTATATATTGTATGCTTGTATCTATATCTTTAATTGGACTGGCTTTGTTGAAAGTCTGCTTGGAGTCAGCAAACGGATTCCCTGATGCTCGGTCTCTTTGAGCCTTACATTCCTCGGGGATGAGATATCCAGAGATGGCCTGGCCTAAGAGAGCCCGTCAGAGAGATGCTATTGGGAAATATGTCATCTTGTAAAATTTGATTGTTGGGTGCTCCCTGAATTAAATTATGCTGGTGACAACATTCTGGGCATCTGAAAATCTCTCCTCCTAGCAGTCTGATAGATGGCCATGCAGGAATGATTTCTACCGCACCCCGTTTGGGGGTCGGCATTGAATTCACCTGGATTGCAGGTACAACCACCCCGTAGGACGGATGGGACAGAGAGAATGTGAGATGTTGGTAATGCTCTTTCGGAAAGGTGACTGTGGTGGATGTGGTGAACATTTGTGTCACTCTTTGGGGGGTTAGGCCTTTTGCTGTGAGCATAGGCTGTCCCACCCTAAGGATCTGAATCTTGGCTTCTGATAGAGTCTCTGTTTCCCTGGTGCAATCTCCTCAAGCATAGTTTCTTTAACTGCCCTCCAAAATTCTATACTTTGCAACAAGAGACGTCTCTGGCCCAAGTCTTGGCATGCCAACACAGTTTCTGATTTCACAAGGAGATCCATGAAGATTGAGGGTCCCCTCAAAATACTTGGAATTCTTGATCAGAGTAGTAAAATTCAGATTCTCCTTCCTCGTTAGCTAACTAAGTTCCAAATTTAAAACAAGGTCCGGTTTGATATTTGCAGTAGGGATGATGTCTTAACCCAGTGTGTTGAGCTATTTCCTGTCATACAGAGGCAGGACAGTAAGCTCTGTTAATTTTTTCTAATCACCAAGGTAATCATCACTTTGTGTGCAGTGCCATGGCCCAAACTTGTAGCTTGCAAGAGATACTCATGGCCAACAAAGCTAGAAGTTTCTAGATATAACAGGATAACACAGATGAGTCAAAGCCTACTCGGCATCTATTTCTGAGAAGTGCCTTGGCACTCAGGAGTCTTGCTTTTCAGCTTGACATATTTTGAGAAGAGTTGGTTTCTTCTCACTTTAGACGATGGCCAACTTAGACGTCCTTCCCCAAAGTCCAAAGGAAGATTGAAAGCCCAGATATCCACCATATTCTCTGACATTCTTTTGGATGCAGTTTCCCAAAAGCCCAACTGGAAATGTAAGTACTCAAGTCTAGGTCTGGTAGTTACTCCTTCACTTAAGAAGAGTATATACTCAAATGAATAGCTCCCTTCAATGTTGTGTTTCTTTCTCGGAGAACTCTCTATGCTCTATCTCCACTTAACAGCTATGTGACGTTCAGCTGATGCCTCTGAGCCCACCTCTGGAGTGAATAAATAAACCTGGTCCAGGTGATTTGATTTCTGCTTTCTGCAGAAGTAAATCTCAGTCAAGAAGATTTTCTTTCACTTTTATGCTTTTTATGTTTTCTTTTTCTTTTTCTTTATTCCTTTTGGCTCTATCCACTTGCTTCCATAGGACTGACAATCCAGCTTCTCAAACTCTATGTCTTAATATGAGGTGAATTCCAGGACCACGAACAGTTAGGACTTCAAACAGAAAATTGGCACTGAATGATTTGGCACACAAAGCAGAAAACCTTCATTTCCTGCAGGCAGGATGGAATTGACTGTTATATTAAGACCTGTGAAGGAGCCCAGCCCTGGAGTAATTTTGGTGCTGTCAGACAACGTTGACATCTAGATTAACCTCTGAGCAGTGAAGTTTACTGCAAAGCTCATTGAGATGCAAGTGCTGTGTCTCCACAAATCCCATGGAACTCTCGGTGGCCCACCCTCAGCAAACCCCCATCCCTTCTTCACCCACTGCTCACTCCATCCATGAACTTTTAGTCTCCAGGAGCAGAGAAGGCAGGACTGGGTTCTGACCTCAGGAGAGGGAGTTTTCGACCTTTCTGTGACCGCAGTGCTGAGCCAGGCTTTCTGCTCAGTGGGAGTGACAGTGGATGTCACTGTCTTGGTTTTCCCTGAGGGGACTGCACATCAAGGCATGAAAGCTACTCTGCTGATGACAAACAGCTTTGCAGCATATCTCGATGCTGCACAAAGTGAAATGGTTTATAAAGAATTAGTGCACCCTGCATCAGTGAGCCCTGATCTGCTCCCCTCCCTCCCTCCTCCAGTCCGGCAAATCTAGGTGTGGGTGCAACAGATCAGGACTGTACCCAGGTGGCGGGGGGGTGGGGTGGTGGTGGTGGTGGTGGGGTGGGTTCTAATGGACAAAGGACTTGCCCTGGGTCTGTGCAGGTGTTTCCTATGTTCTTTATGAGAGAGGCAGTCCCAGCTCCTTCT